GTTGTGCTGGGGTGGTAGAGGCATCATAACTTCATCAGTGTGAGGAGGAGGGGAGCAAGCAGAGATAGACTTCTATGTTAATTTAGGCCACCACATTCATTAGTATTATGTTATTTTTCTCCCCTTCTGCCTAGCTCTGGTTTTCTGGATGATAGTTATGATTTGGAAGAGCCGTATGTATAATTTTATCTGGGACTTTCTTTGAATTTTTAAGTAAATTATATTCTGAAATGTGAGTTTTCTTGTTTTCAAGGCACATTAAAAAGTAATGGATGCATATTTTAATGGATACAGTTGCATTACTTTGCAAAATTAAAATAATTTAATTCAGTGTAAGTGAGCATTATATGCCTCAAATAAGCAGAATACTGCTTCAGTTAACTAACATTCTTTACAAAGTAGTTTCACTGAGGTAAGACAAATGGGTATATATTGTGTACAGCTTGGTGCTTTAAGGAATACACGCCCATCACCATAATGAACACTCTGATTCCAAAATAATTCCTAGTGCTGTGCAGCAGCAGCTCCCATATTTGTCCCAGCCATTCACTGATCTTTATCACTTAGATTATTTTGAATTTCTAGGAATTTTACATAAACAATGTTAATCATACAGTATACACTTCTTTAATTTTGAAAAACTGAATATGTTATTTTGGGTCTCACTCATGCTGTGTGCTGTTGCAAGAATTCATTTATTTTGGTTACCAGTGAGTAGTACTTTGTTATTGGTGAAATTATTAAGGCAACTCCACATAGTTAAAAGGGAGGTTTATTTTGTGGGGTAACTCACAAGTGAAGGGGTAGGTAACAGGGTTTGGCAAAGGTGTAGTTCAGTCTGGTGGTGTTCTCTGGAGAACTCTGCTCAGTCTACCTCCAGCGTCCAGGGTCCAGGAACCAAGAGAGCTGGTGCATCAGATCTCGGGTCTTCAGGGTCCTCTCTTGGCTCTGCCTTGTAGGCGTGACAGTTACCAAAGCCTCAATGGGGGTTGAAACTTCCAGATCAAAGCTGGAATGACTACCCACTACACTTTGTTGTTTGCTACATCACAATTTCCTCTTCGCCTCTTGTTGGGTACTTGGATTATGCTGCATTTTTAGGTACTGGAAATTAAGCTTTTGTGAGAATTTGTATGCACAAGTCTTTTTATGTATGATGCAGATAGTCTTAAAATATAATACTATCCTAAGAGATTTCTCAATTTATGAATGGTTATGGCAGTAGTCCTTTCCAAATTTATTTGACCAATTCACCAACATGTTGTAACAAAGACTCTTGTATGTGTGGTACCAAATCTGACATCTTTTACTTTCTGTTTCTTTTATCCTCCTCTGTTACCCATGAAAATTTTTCCCCAGTTCTAATGTTTTCCCATGTCTGTACCTAAGAACCTGCCAGTTATTACTAATCCCACCATGTTAAATCCTGCCCGTCAGTCACTTTATGCCCTCTTTGTTGAGTCCTTGCTTGGTTTACCCATGATACTGTTGTCCAGATTTTTGTGCCTCCATACTTCTGGATGCAATGTAAAACCATAAGACATCAATGTCTAAAAACTTTGGTACCAGCTGGCAAGTACCCCTTCATCATACCTGCTTTTTATTATTTTTAATTTTTGCTTTTATTTATATTTATTTATTTATTTATTTATTTATTTATTTATTTATTTATTTATTTATTTTGTGTGTGTGTGTGTGTGTGTGTGTGTGTATGTGAATACTCATGTTGCTATTTGTCAGGGCATGGTCAGGCCAGGGATCTCCTACTTTGGGCATTACTTCTCAGAAATTATTCAGCTTGTCTTTTGAGAGAGTTTCTCACTGTCATCTGGAGGTCACTGATTGGGCTGGGTTGGCTGGCCAGCAGGTATCAGGAACACACCTGTCTCCACCTACCAGTGCTAGATTAAAAGCACATGGAACACAGGTCCTTACATTTGTGTGGTAATTGCTTTCCCCAAGTGTTATCTGTATTTATACTGTTTGTTAGGAGTTAGCGATCTGTAAACTGCCCCTCACTGAGCTTTACCTTTGATTGTAGACTTCTACATGACATACCTGGATCATATGTTTGCACTTTTCTCTCCATGTCATTTGGCCCATCCAGACCCAGGTGCGCTCTGCTCACTCAGCTGTGAGGACCCGCCTCCTCCTTGCTCACGAAGGTCTACAGAATTCAGATTTGGTTCTTCATTGCAACAGGATTTGTCGGGGAAATTTTTTTTTTACATAGGTCCATCTGTTTCCACAAGTAAATGATGCTGGGCCAGCTATTACTGTTGCCATCTACTAATGGCAGGGCAAGCTGACACATTGCGGGCCTGTTGCCTAGTTTATTCACTTGTAGGCAGTGTCTTCCATTATGTAAAGTGAGTGAGTTCACCTGTTAGACACTTTCCCTATGTACTAGTTCTGTCGTCTATAGCTTGCCTTTTATAGAGTATATAGACACACCAGCCTCTTTTCTGTTTGTCCAAAGTATTTGTTACTTCCCCACCTGAGTGTTGCCGTCTTTTCTAGCCTCCTTCAGGACACACCTGTACAGGTCTTCAAATAAGCTAGCCTCTAATATTGCTCACATGACAGGCTAAGGTGATTGCAGTAGAGAGGCTTGCTTTGCCCATGCCTCCCACACTTATTCGTCCTGTAACTTTCATACCGGGATATATGTCCTAGAGTGTATTAATCACTACATTTCTTTCTTTCACTTATTACTTGTTAGCTGAACTTCTCCATACATAAGCACCACTATGCAGATATTAAGGGGTTTTCCAGAATAGTAATACAATAAATAATAAGAAAGTAAATGAAAATACAATAAATAATAAAACAATACTTTCATAAATGTGATGCTCAGTAACTATTTGCTGTATACATAGGCACACAGGTGACTTCTTTTGGTTAATTAAAATTCTAGGAATGAACAGGCTACCCTACAAGCTGGCTGAAATCCTAGTCACTGTTCGAAGCCTGATAAATAACTTTTTTGTTTTCCAAGAATTTTCCAAACAGATATTTTTATCTTCTCTCATAGAACTTTAAAATATTCTATTTTTCTGTGTTATAGTTGTCATGCCTTCATTATTAGTTTAAACTGTAGAGGAATTAGGGGACATATTCAGATTTCAGAATAGCGCTGGTGCTGAAAAGATATTTGCTGAAGTCAGAAATAAATAAAAATCAATAGTATGCTAAGACTCTTGACTATTCTATTCAATTATTTGTCGTGAAATATTTAAGCATACATAAGGGGATGAAGAATATTATGCTAATGTCAATGTACCCACCACCAGTTTTAAAACATTGACACAAAGACATTAATTCGTCATGTGGCTGTCCTATAGTCCATTTTTTCTCCTCAGTAGCAAACATGATCCTGAAGTTAGTGTCTTTACTATTACTTACTGTGTGTTTGCATGGGTATTTTCTACTACTCTGTCTCTGTGATCTACATGTGTGAAAATACATAAACACTATGCAATATTATTTTGATTATTTCTAATGATTACAGGGGTCATTTTATACCTTCTTTCTTTGTTATTATGTTTCTTGGATTGTCTGTGTTGACACCTCTAACAGTAGAAACCAGTGGTGAGATCACTTATTTTAATTGCTATGTAATATTCCTTTATGGAATGCTTTCATAGCTTCTTTGTGTATTATCTTGGTTGAAAAGGCATTTAATTTCCTCTCTTCACTTTTAGAAACAATACTATAATGAACATTCTCATACAAGTTATTGGTAGTCTTGGAATACATTACTCTAAGGATTATGCTGGGACAAATTTCCATTTTTGTAATGTGGGTGTTCATTATGATTAAGAACAAATGTATAAGAGCCAGTGTTCAAATACTTCTTGGCCCTTGCTAGCACTTCCAGGAAGCAGTGGGCACCAGCTATTTTCTGCTCTTCTCCTGAGTGTGCATGCCTTACCTCAGCCCTTGGCATCGAGCAGTCAACCTGGCATGGGTACTTTTGGCTGCAGTGTGTCTTGCCAGAGCCAGTTCCCAGCTGCTACTGCCTGCTTTTGGAGCCAGAGACCAGCAGGTCCGTAGCTTCACGTAATAACCACTTTGCATTTGGGTTTCATTTCTGATCCACTGAGAGGTTTATTTTTCTGCGCCTGGGGATTAGTTTTCTTTCTAGATATTTTATTTACCATTGCTGTGAGTCTGGAGCAGAGGGAGTAAGTGAAACATGAATTTCTTTTGCTCACCGTAATCAGAAGTTGATAATACCTGGACGACCTTTTAAAATAAGCACACGCTCATCTAATCATGGGTTTTTCGAGCTGGAAGGCATTTTACAGAAAAGGCCAATAACCTTACTTTATAGGTGAGGGAATTGTGGTCCTGAGAAACTAAGTGATTTAGTGATGTCACATCTGTGGTTGATGGTGGCAAGTCCAGACCGAAGCCCGTGGGTCCACTCTATCCTCCAATTGCCACTACATTGACTGTCTTAGTTTTCTCTATACGCTAAGATTAAATGCAGCATTTTACTTTTAAAAGGATCAAAAGAATGCACTACCATTTAAGAAATTAGAAAAAAAATGACACCACATTTAAAAACCGCTATGAAGTGTTTTCTCTGAGAGAGAGAGTTCAGATAAAAGTGATAATATACTCGCTCTTGCACTGAGCTGAGTAAATTTTCATTAGAAGGCACAATGCCTTTGACTCTGGGTTCCTGGTGCATTTGGTTTCCTTGACTTTCTGAGACTTATTAGGATGGGCCCATCAATAATGTTGTGGATACTTCCAGCCACCTGGAGTGCTGAACCTGAAAATGAACTGTGATGAATGAATATGACCAGTATCAAAAGTGATAGCCTATATTTCTACTGTCAGGTAGACATGGCTGAGTGTTTAATTAAAAAAAAAAAAGTAATAACGAGAAAGTGTTCCTTCTTATTAGGATTTCTGAACTTTTTAAGTTATGCAATTTAGAATGTGGTGTTGTTATTAAAACCTTTGGAACTGTTTTATTCTATTTCTAGACCTTTTAGCTGTGCCTAAGCACCCATATGCTGCTATGGAGAATTGGGGACTAAGTATTTTCGTGGAACAAAGAATACTGCTGGACCCCAGTGTTTCGTCTATTTCATATTTGCTGGATGTCACCATGGTCATTGTTCATGAAATATGTCACCAGGTACGAGAAAAGGAGCAGGTGTAAGTATAATGTGATACTGTCTGGAATGTGGGGTGACTTCACACATCTAGATGAGGAGCTTGGTTTTTAATCCTCCCATCTAGGTTCTCCACAAATCACTGTGCAGTTACTCTGCACGGCATGCCATTTTTTCTCAGACAATAAGGTAAGCGCACATGCACAAACTGATGGTATCGCATCAGCAACTGCCACCGGGTTGAGTTGAAATATGTGATGGAGTGGTTGCTCCTTCAGAGCTCCTGTGTAGCTGCTGATCAGCCATGCTTCCATTTCTTTGGTTATTAGTGTGTACATATGGTAAGTGCAGTGAGAAAAATGATGTATTGCATTGTGGAGAGATACAGCTGAGTTTTGTGTATGTTAAAATTTGCTTTTGCCGAAATCAGTTTGTAATTCTTCTTTCCCGTCACATAGACACATAGGAAGTTTTTCAGTAACTCAGCAAAAGACTCTTTGTTCTCAAAAGAGTGATATATTTTTTTAACTTGGCATATTTTGAAATTCAAATATGTAAACTGGGCAACATAGTGAAGGTAAGATAAAAATTAACTTCATTTTGATTTTATGAATTTCCTTACTAGTGGAAGGTGGTAGATGGATATTTTGTAACACTTGTTAAATTGTGATGTTGCTGAAAAAAAAAATCACTGAGAACAGACACTGTTAATGGCATCGTTTGCCTCTTGCAGTGAACCAGGGAGAGAGTTGTACCTTTGTGCTCACCGAGTCAGACATGTTTCTGATCTCAGGTTACAGAGGGGCCATGGCAGGTATAACCGGGGTCCCTCAGTGCTAGAGTGGCTTCTCCTTTGACTTACAATTCTGAGGCAAATGTAATTTCCTTTTGGGATATTCCTATAATTGAAAAATTAGACCTGTGATTCTGTTGAGATGAGGCCCAGTGATAGTGCTGTAATTTATTGTTCAGGCCTCCGCACTTCCCACATTTCCTGTTATATGTTAGTTTCCTCTAGTAACTCAGTGGTAGCAGGCCACTTACCACAAAGAACTGAGACAGAAGCTAAGAGAAACATCTGTCACGATTTCACTGTGATTGTCACGTTTGTTTTCTCTATTATCCCCATCACCTATTTGTTGTCACAATGCTGAAGACAGGTTGTCAATTTGAAAGAGAAATGTGTATTTTGGACACAGTAAAACATTCAAAATAGAGGCTGCATGGCCATTACCCTATTTGGAGCTATATTTTATTAGTATTTGAATTAGAGATCCCCTAAAGGAAATGATACTTTATCATTAACATTGGAACACTTGATTGGGTCCCTGAGCTGTTCTTATCTTATGATGACTCTTGAAATATGATCTGGTATGTCTTTGTCTATCAGGACTGTTCGATTCTTCTGTCCACATGGTCAGTCAAAATCCAGCTTTCCATATCTCCTGTTTCTCAGAGAACATATTCCCACACAGACTCCTTATCCTGTGGGTTACTCATGTCTGCTGTCTGTCTGGAATTCTCTTGCCCAAGACTGTCTCATGGCTGGCTCCTTATCATTAAGGTTTCAGCCCAATTATCATCTGCTCAGAGAATGATTGTGCTCTATAATCACAAGCAGTCCCAGCTCCATCCCTCTGTTATGTTAGGAAGATTAGAATTTACGCTGTTATTTTTTAGTTATGTACCATGTATAATTGTCACCTGTGTGAGAATAAACACTATCTAGGTTTTCTTCATTGAATTTCAAGTCTTTTTGATTGTTTCTGGCATGTAATATATTTTTGATAACAAATTTAGAAAAAGTAAAGATTTCAGACTAGTGTATTTTTATTTATTTATTGTTATTTAATCAAAATATCAATTAAAACTTTTTCATGAGCCATATCAGGTTTTATTGGCTCAATTCCTCATTTTCAGGAGAGTGTAGTATGGAGGAAGTTCAGAGTCTTTGTTTGGTTCATTAGTCAATGTGGGCTGTGATTTTCCTCTGCTTCAGAGGAAGATATTTCATTTTCATGATGACTGCTCACTACTATTCTAAGTAGCACTTCTGGACCACCATACAGAGTCTTCTGCATCTTCAGCAGACACTGGCTACTTCTGATGTCCATTCATCCATCCCAGCCTGTCCCTGTAATGTCATAATAAACAAATCTTTTCTTCTTATATACAATAAGCCTTCCGATCTCTGAAGACAGTTGTCACCAGATTTGATTCAAGGTTACTATTTTTTGTTCTTCACTGAGCATATTTGTAAACTACCAGTGTTATCCGAGTAGTCATATTTAATCACTACAGTCTTGCCCCAACACATTTTAAGATCACAAAATTAATTTGGGAATGACATCCAGTTACGATCATCACAGACTAACACATTTGATTTCAGGTAAATGAATACTACTTTTTTAAAAAGTGGATGCTACTTTTTTCTTATGCTCATTCATTCTGTTATAACAGTGGTTTGGGGACCTTGTGACTCCGGTGTGGTGGGAAGATGTGTGGCTGAAGGAAGGATTCGCTCACTACTTTGAATTTGTGGGTACAGACTACCTCTATCCTGGCTGGAACATGGTAAGTGCCCTTTTCTCTAATTCTATGGAATTCCCAGGGAAAGGTTGAGCTGGTGTACACTGAGCTTATGTTACCCCATTAAAGATATCTGAAAACACCAGTCAGTGAATGAAAGAAGTATTCTGCCAATAAAGGAAAACTAACCAGAATTGGAATCCCAGAAGTTATCTTTCATCTTTTCTCAAGAAATCAAATAAAATCTGACTTGATATATATTGCCTTCAAAATGTCACCATTTATCTATTTTGTCTTTTTTTTTCCGGAGCTGAGGACCGAACCTGCGTTTGCTAGGCAAGTGCTCTACCACTGAGCTACATCCCCAACCCTGTCACCATTATCTAAATGGAAATATTTTAGATTGCAGAGTTTTAAACTATGAATTATTATGTTAATAATAATAATAAAGGAATTATCCTTTAAAATAGAGAATTTCACCATAATTAATAAGTGATATTTTAGGTAGATGATGTATTTCAAAATAGAGAAAAAATGAGAACACACTATTGTTTCAAGACATGAAACATAGTGATTGGATAAAAGATTGTTATTTCTACCAGTAGGTGTATTTTGGGATTAAGTAACTTTATAACATGTCAGTACCTTTACTTATAGCATTGAATATGTTAGGTGCTTTAGGGATGTTCTGAACTAAGAACCCTGAGTCAGGCTCTTTGTTCTACAAGCTGTGATGTTTTACATTTCTTTGAAATAAAAAATGGACAATATAGTTTTTACGTCTTTTCACATCAGTTTTTTATTTTATATAAACTTCTATTTACCTATAGTTGACTATATTAATATTGAATAGAACCCATGGTATATACTGTTTTAGAGCTCAAAATTAAGATAAATTTGAAATTTATTTTAATTGGCATTAATATATTGAGTAAAAGTTTCAGTGTACCAACATTTAACTTTTAGAGGCTAAATTTTCACTTATAATTTCTCACCCTCTGTCTGTCTATCTATCTATCTATCTATCTATCTATCTATCTATCTATCTATCTATCTATCTATTTAAAATCACTGATTGCCCTACAGAAATCTCTGCACATTAATGTGAGCAGTGGTGTGATTTGGAGCATATTTTGCAGGCTATCAGGTAGCTCAGAGGTAGCATGCTTGTCTAGCATGCCTAAGGCCTTTTGATTGATCTCCAAAACAGAAAATAAAGAAGTAAAGAAATAAAGAAAATGTTCTTAAAGAAGTTTGAATTAAAACTGTTCTATCATAGTATCGGAAGTATTCCTTAGCAAGTGTGAAATTTTAATGCTTAAATGTTTAAGATGATTAAAACATCTCAAAAAGGTATCTTTTGGTTCTTAGAAGACTGAACCAGCTTTAAAATTTTCATTATGCTGTGGATTACTACCGATTTATAATTTCATTACATCTCAATATTAAAATATGTTCTTATTACAAATGACATGTCACCCATATAGGTAAGGCTTTTTTTTAATGCTCATTCAACTGCATGTAATAAAATCCTCTCTATTCATCATTATGAAATGTACATCTTAGATTAAAAAGTAATCAGCAGCACAGTACGTGGGGGTGAAAATGGATAGATTTTGATGGTGTTAAGCATGGCCGTATAGACGTGGTTTCGATGCCCTTAGATTTTGTCTTGAAATGTTTTGTGTATTTTATTAGCTAAATTATAAGCCTAAATCTTATGGAGAAGATACTTCCAAGAGACATTGAAAATGAAAATGAACATAAAGGATAAGCAACATATATTTGTCCTTTTATAGAACATGTACTGGAAGCATGAAAACCTTGATGTGTTAAGAAATAAGATTTTATTTATTATGAGTCAATACATAATAATCACTTGGGAATTAATAATAGCCTAATTATAGTGACTCAGAAAGTTCACCCAAGAAAGCTCCGTTAACATTAATTTGGCAACTCATTGTGAGTAGAAACAAATGTTTTTCATTTTCAGTTTTAAAAAGTTCAAATACTTTCTGATCTTTGCTAGCTTTTTGTTTTTAGGAGTTGTGTTTTTAATTTAATGAAACACTTCAGTGTACTAAATTCACAAACCCCACAATAAGAGACTCTATGTATAGATTGTCCCTCCATAAAACATTAATATCTTCTTTGAAAATAAAATTTCAAGAGTAAGTTAGCCACATAAATAAGAAAGGGTGTCAAGTGGCTGTATGGCTGTGCCAGCACTATTTTTCATAATGGCATCAGCAAGAGAGTGAAAGAAATACTCTACAAAATAAGAGTTCTGACTATGTCAGCAGCAGCTCACTGCTGTTGTATGTACCGAAGCTCCTCTGTGAGTGTGTGTCTTGGGCTGCACTGGAGCTGAGCTGAAAATAGAAAAACTAGAAGCCAGACTCATGTCAGGAGTAAGGACATTCAGAAAGTTGACCTTGTTTGTGTCTAATCTCAAAAAGCAGTGCTTTAAAAAAATATTTTTTAGATAACAGGACTCAGACACTGAAATAGAGTTCCAGTTTGCTAGGAATATTACTATAACAATATACCTTGCATGGAACAGCAATAAAGAAGACCAGAATTATATGGTATTGTTAAGGAGCTCTTGTTCTGATTTGGGCTGTTTTCCCTGCTCAGCTAACAGTTGCTCAGAAGAACTGTAGGTTGTGATTATTTGAGTGGTCATGTATTTTCAGAACCAGTAGTCAATACTAAAGCAATCAGCTTTTACATTACAACTACTTCGTGGAATAAAAAAATGCATTAATATCCATCTCCCCTCAGAGTAAATGCCTGAATTTAGCATTTTATAGATATGAGTCCTTATGGGTATTATGATGTGAGGTCAGTAGAATGGATTAGAAAAAAAAATCAACTCAGATTCTAAGAAAACAATTCACCTAAGTCATGATTTGAAATACAAGACAATTGTACTAAGTACACGCCCATAGTTCTGTGAGAGCTTTGGAATGAATGAACCATTATAGTAGTGTCAGACGTCCTAATGCTGTGACCCTTTAATACAATTGCTAATGTGGTGACCCCCAACCATAAAATTTTCATTGCTACTTAATAACTATATTTTTTTGCTACTGTTATGAATCATAATGTAAATATCAGATATGCGGGTTATCTGATATACAACTTCCATGAAAAAGTAGTTAGACCTGCACATGGGTTACAAGCCATGGGTTGAGAACCACTGCATCACACAAATGTGAAAGAATATTGAGGTCTTCAGAAGAGATTACTCCATTAGCAAAGTGCCTAGCCTATAAAGAGAGATGCTCTAACATTTCCTATTTCCATAATCCCTTTTGACAATCTAGATTTATATGAGCTACACAGAGAATACCAAACAAGGTCTCTCCATTCCATGTCTGTACTTATTCTTACCAAGCCAACTTGCACCTATACTGGCAACATAAATCTATGGGAACGTATACTTTAGGTAATATGAAATTTATCAAAGAGAAGTAACACAATCTTTAGAAGCAGCATTCTTTAGCTTATGGCTCAGGGTGTATTTCATGGGGTGATTTTTCTTTTTTTGCTGCTTGATGTAATTTTATCAATATTGGCCAGTGGGGACATTACTGAATGGCTCAAACGCCAGTTTGTTATTGATGGACATTGACATTAAATCCCATTGTGATGGGAAATTAGCTTACTGGCTGAGCATTTGCCTTGTATGTATCAGGGACTTAGCTTGATCCCTGTACCTCAGGAGGAAGAACAACCATGTTTTCTCAGAAGGGACCAAAGAAGATGCTAACGCCATATTTTAACATTCTTCAATACCTCTTGATCATGTTTGTTCGAAAACAAGTCTGTGACGATATAATTTCAATTCCGTAAAAGGACATAGAAAACTTTTCTGTGAAGAAGCTTTTATTTCTAGATTAGATTCTGATATGGGTCAAATCATACACCCAGAGTACATTAAATAAATTCTCATTGTGATTTGTTTTAAATAGTTTGTAGGCCCCTGATTCAGTCTTCTGAAGGCATCCTGAAAATGTTTTTCAGCTATGACTATTAACCACCAGTCTTTGTTAGATTACCAAAGGAATTAAGCTGCCACAGAGCCTCTCATATTAGTAAGCGTAAGTTAGACATTGTTAAAGCACAACGGTTGGGAATTTCCTCTATTATTTTTAAAGAACACCAAACTTGAAAAAATTATTACTGTAAATTCATCAACTAAACTTCATTATGCTAAATACTTACAGTATCTTAAGTGTGTTGCCTAAAGTCTTAAAAACTGTGCCCAATTGCCTGTCATTGGTAGGACTAAAATAAGGAAAAAATGAACTCTGTTATGATCCCAGTGCCATTGTAATAAAACTATTCCCACATTTTAAATCATTTTATTTTCATTCAAAAAGAAAGAGAAAACCCTTGGTAAGTTGAAATATTTGAGCTTATTGAGTTTCGTTGGCTTCAGTATAGATACGTATCTCTTAATCATTCTAACTCACGAAGAATACTCTGATATTCAAAGAGGAATAAATGAAAAAATATTCAAAGAGGAATAAATGAAAAATAAAGAAAAGAGTTTGATTGAGGCTGGTATTTTACTTGTCCCGTGAGCTGTTCATTTTGTATGCCCATATGCGATTCAATGGTTGTATGAGAAGTGCTGCCATAGCGTTCTTTATAAAGGTATTTAACATGCATTACAACGAGCATTGGCATATTGGTGCTGTTGTCTGTAATTCAGAAGAAATAAAGGGTATATTCACTGAGTGGTACTATGGGTCCAGTGATAGGCCAAAATAAATATGTTTTAGAATCTTACGTGTAAATTCTGAATACCAAGTAAGTGCATGCATTCACACACTTAGTTTTCCCTGTATTTGTGTTTGTGTGCTGTGATCAAAGTCCACATACAACATTTGATTAACTGGAAATGAGGGGTTAGAAGGTGGTCCAATTGTTTTTAATTGGATGATATTTTAATCTTGAGTGACTCTAAATGTGAAAAAATTTAAAGACTTTCTGGCTAGTCTCAAGGTTCTATGCCTTTTTTAAAAAAATTGAAA